AAAAATCAGAAATATTGCAATTTAGGCAAGCACTCTCAGTAGCTCTGTATCTGTGAGTGACATAGTGTGTATAACCTGCCATCTCAGATTTATATGAACAGTACCTTAGTTCAAAATAGCAGGTTTTTTCTTTTTTCTTACTCATTGCCAGCTGACCTCTGTCCTGGATAAATAAAATCTGATTTTACTTGAGGGAAGGGATGAACAAGTATTTAAGAAAATTGAGTAAGTATTTGTAGAACACTGAAGTATAAAACCCCCCACCTTACTAAGCAGAGCCTTTTCTAGAAGCCTAAATTGTGCATTTCTTATTCATGATACAATATTTCAGTCTTCCAGTTTTGTTTAGGAAACAAGTATGCTTCAGTGTAAGTAAGATTCAGTGTACAAAAACCATAACAGCCTGATTACGTGCCCTGAGCTGGTTTCCCTTTGGATATCCCTTTGAAAAGATGTGAACTTCATTGTCCGTAAAACTATTCATTATTTAACATCATGCTTGAAGAGCTATTCTGTATGGCAATGCTGCAGTTCATATAAACACAGAACTTCATACTCAGTGCTTATCTACTGCAAAGCTCTTTCCTATTTCCACAAGTGAAATAAACTTTACAAGAAGTCATTGTGTGTGTTTATATACTCCTGTTAACTATCTGTTTTAACTTCTGCCTTTAACTGTGAAACAACAGCAAAGAAAGAAAAAAAATATATTTAGGAGGTCCAACGGTATTAACTGTTTTGATAATCAGTCCTAACAACGCTGATCAGTTTTTCCTCTTCCATAATTGAGAAATACTATTTTTAAAATATGTTTCAGAGCAGTTTTCTTATGTCTAATAGAACCTTTACATATTTTTGTTACTAGTATAATCCTTGTATTGCTCTTTCAGGTCAGCTGGAAGTGATCATGGATCGCCGGCTTATGCAGGATGACAACCGTGGCCTTGGACAAGGTGTTCAAGATAACAAGATTACAGCTAATATCTTCCGACTTCTGCTGGAAAGAAGACATGGAACAGATGTGGTAGGATTCACTGCCTGAATTTTTTTTTTTTTTCCTAATTAATATATAAATATTTATTTCTGTTGCAGCAGCAATGAACTCAGTAAAGAAATTATTCCCTGAGCTGTAGAACTAAGGAAACGTATCTTCCAAGTCCAAGTTTTGTCCTCTTGCTTGCTTATTCTCTTCATAAAGACTTCATCTTTCACTATTCCTCACACAAATCCTGTGGCATCTGTGCTTCAATGTATGAATTTTGGTTGTAGAAGTCTCACTTTTTTTTTTTAATTCCTTTTTGTTTATCACACCTTTAAAAAATTGCTACTGAGCATGGGTACTGCTTCTTAACAATGTTAACTGAGTCTGAGCAAAGGTTGACAAATTAATACAGTTGAATGGGTAGAAAGAGAAAATCTCTTATAAATTTAATATTCTTAGGAAATAAGAATTAAGTGGAAATATTTAGATTCCAGACACAGGAACCTTATCAGTTCATTACGATTCCAGGAAAATTGAGACCGTTTTGTTTTAAGGGTTTTTTATACTTGCGTGAATCATCTCAGTTTGTCTTTTTGTGTCTTAGTCTTTTGAATAACTTCAGATTTTTTTGGTTCTTTGTATTTTCTCTCTTTGTTTTTTTTTCCTATCATTTTTGAGAAGGACAAAACAGGAAGTACATCTTCATACTGAGGCAGTAGAATTGTGGTGACAGCACTGAGTATATTTTAAAATCATTGCATAGCTAAAGATGAGAGGTTGTATACTGAGCTACTAATGAATATGCAGATAAATTGGAATTAATTCTGGTTTATAATGGATGTCATTAACCACTGTGAGAGGATGATAATATCAAGCTTAAAGCTAATTTTCACCACTTAATGATTGACAGTGTTTTTTTTCAGGTTGTACATGTCAGAATGATTTTCAAGTCCCCCATCATGTATAACACAGGCTGCATATTAACTGCATTTATCAGGTTATCCATGCTAACCTGAGCTCAGAAGCAGTCTGGCTTGGACAATAATGAGCATTGCACAGGTTAATCTGTCCTTACAAGAAGAAACCTGCAGAGAGATCTGTACTGCCACCAAAAATTCTTTAGTACCCAGGGTAATTCATGTTGTATTAAATTAGAATGTGAAACTGGTAAGTAAGAATTACTGGACATGGAAATCTATGCTTACATTATCAAATAGTTTCAAACAGCATAACTAGATCAAATCAGTTAGTGCCATGGTGCTTTCATGGACACAGTGTACAGTTTTGGTGTTTTCCATAGAACCATAAAATAACTCCCTGAAAGGTACCTCTGGAAGTCTTCCAATCCAGTTCCTGCTCAAAGCAGGTCTGTTTCTGTGTCAGAACAGACATCTGTTCAGACTGTAAACTTGATGTGATGGGTTGGATAGAGCATGTTTGGTGCCATACCTCCAGGGAAGCTTCTTGGTTACTTCCTTCTAATAGAGAACTGTTCTATACACACTGAAACTCCTCTGCAAACTAGAACTAGTGCCTGGTGAAGTGGGGGTGGCCATAAGTTTCATTTCAGAAAAGCACTGCTACTTCAAACCAAAACACTCTATCAGAAAATCTTCTTAGATTACCTCAATTAGAATAAAGGCAACCTAAATAACTCCAGGATTTTTGAGTTAGTGAAACATTTACATGTGCCTTTGCATATGTTTACCTGTTTGGGATAACAGGCAGGCATCACCTCAGTAGAGTAACAACGTATTTCCCTTTTTTTGTTAAAATCCTTTCTTTCCTACAGTTTTGAAAGATTCTTTGCAGGTTACTGAGAGAAGTGTAATCAGAAATATGAGGGAGGAGGCACAGCCAAAGGAAACATTTTCTTTCTAGTATTATGTCTGGAATTCCCCTTTCCTGTATTGAGTGTTCTAGAATTTTGTTTTTCAAAATTTATCTGAACATCTGTAACATTTTCTGATTCATGTTGCTGTTTCAGATATGTTAAAGTAAGGAAGGGTAGTAGCCTCCTTTCTGTTTTGTTAAATGTACAAACATGTTTTTTTAGTGCATTGTTACTCAGAAGGTACTTGTTATAATAGCTTAAAAATAGCCATGTCAGAAAAAATTATGGTGAAGTTATATGCAGTTTATATATGCGGTCGGCTACAGTGTGACTCATACACTGACCCTGATTTTGTTGTCAAGCCCTGTTTTATTATTGACTGGAGGAACCATAAAAGCCACTGGAGGAGAAACTTTTGATCACTTGACATCTTTGCCAGTACAAGATTTTTCTAATGTAAATTCCAAAATATTTCATTCTATCTTTTCTCAAAAACAGTTCTGAAGAACAGGAGATTTTCTGCTCTTTGAGAAACTTCCTCATAAAAGGAGACTATATGAAGTGTAAGATATACAGTTCTTTAAAATTAATTAAAATAAATGTGCATCACTGGTGAAATTACTGTGTATGTTTTTGTTTATGACAGTATCAACCAAAAGTTTATTTTCATTTATATCTCTGAAATACTTCCCCACCCTGAACAGTAAATTTTAATGTCAGAGTCAAACTACATAACTGTCACAAAGTGTAAGAGTCACCTGTCTGGTGGGTAGATAGAGGAGAATTCTTAGTAATTCTTAATAATTGGTAGCATACTTGGTCTGTATTCTAATAGGCTCCTAGACTACCTAGTTTTTGGCTCTTGAGTTCTAGTCCATCTAATCATTCTGATATTGCCTGATATTGTCTTCAGGTGGATGTATTTTGCTGAAGCTTTTTTTGGGTTCGTGTTTGTGGGGTTTTTGTGTGGGAGGGTTTGGGAGGAGGTGTTTGTTTTGTTTTCTGTTTGCTTGGATGTTGTTTCTTTTTTCCCTAAGCTGTATGCTACTAAAGGTTTATTCAGAATGACACTATTGTTCACTAAGTAAGCTGTGTATGTAGTAAGAGCTGGACAAATCTCATTTCACTTTACATTATGCTCTCCTAATTTATTGATAATTATGCCTCTCGGGCCTCAGATCTTTTTACTGTGTTTTGATACAATTTCTACATATGTCTTTTAATCCTAGCAGTTGTAACCAGTTCTGCTTATATGTTCATTTTGTCCTTGCAAATGATTTTTGGATCTGAATATCTCTTTGAATTCTCTTCTGATGTTAAACCTTCTTTTTCCTCAGATTGTTAAGCAAGAACTGAATACATTTCAGCTTTAAATTGAAGGGATTAATATTTAGCTAAGAATGAAACTGGGTACTGTTATCCATACTTGCCTGTCAAAATAGTAAATGCTTACTTTTGAAAATATAGACTGTTTTATATTTATTGTAAGTTTTAGAAAAACAAACATGAATACCTTCTTACTTTCTGGACACCAGCATGTTGTATTAGTATAAGAATATGAAAGAAATAGGATTTATAGGACATGGTAATACATTTATTTCGTCAGTGAGGTAGCTGGAGAAAAGATGTCATGCCAGGCATACACTTTCTTCTTCAGGTTCCTGTTTCATACCTTGCCTTGACTTGCTCTACTGATATAATTGGATTCATAGCCAGAATTCAATGGCTCAAATAGTTGCTATGTTTCGGGGGAGGTTGTTTAGCGAAACAATGATACAGGCAGTAAATAAAATCATAAATATGTGGGAAGGTAGTCAACCTCTCTTTCTTCCACTAAATACAAGTACTCTCTTTTTCTTATTAAATATCTGTCAGTATCCACTTTCTCTGAGAATGTGTGGTTAGTGATACAGCAACTTCTGCCTGATTATTCTGTTGCATTTGTCACTTCCTTGGTGTGCATATATATAATGCATGTCCGTGCCTCACATGGTAGCTATATTACTATATATTACATTGCTATGCTACATGTAACCACACCTTAACAAACATAATTATTTAATGTTTCAAAAAAGCAGAAACTTGACATTGCCTTAATTATTACCATTTAAAAGCTTTTTCAAGTGCATGTGTGACAAGTTCAGATATTCCAATATAATTTTCAGTTGTAATTACTACAGTAAACTTATCAAATACATGAAAGTCCTGAATGTTAAGGTTTTGAGGTTTGATAGTGAATGAAATAAAATATAGAATGAAATAAGAAAATTAGTCATTTCACTCTTCCCGTCACAGAGAAACCAATTCATCTTCTTTAGAACCTTACCTCATATATTTAGTAAAGGGGGAACACTAGTTTCTTGCTTCATTTGGAGACATTCAGGTATGTGCTACTTCTTTGCAGCTTTGCTTAAAACATTACATTTAAATTATTGTTACTGCTACTACTATATAGGTTATGCTATTATGTATTTTTTATGCAGGAACTTTGTGTCTGCTATTCAAGAATAATGTTTCCACCTCTTATTTATCTACAAATACTATCTGCTTTCAGGCAAGCACTGTGCTTTTTATATGTCAGGGCACCTTTTAGCATAATTTCCTTCAACTATATATATATATATTCTTTTTTTCTTTTTCTCTCTCTCTTTCTTTTTTTTTTTTTTTTTTAATGATACAGTGACAAAGATGTGTCTGCAGAAAGATTTTTAATAAAGACTGATTTGTCTGCAAGCTCCATTCATGTGTTACTGTGTTACTGTAGGGACTAAACATTTTCATCCTGCAGAAAGGCACCAGCAATTTGTAGCTGGCTCACAGCTGCCTCCACCTAGTTTCTGGGCTTTCAGCTGTCTCTTTTGTGTTGTTTTTCATTAAATTATGTACATCTCTGAACAATGAATCACTTTCCTAGGTTTGTTTTTATCTGTCTTCATTTGTGTGTACCTGTCTGCTAGTTCTGATTAAAAAGAATTTAACCTCAGTAGTATGCATAGTGTTCAAGCTTATTCTCTCCACTTATAGCTCATACAATTCACCAAAGCCAGGGGGTAGACTTCTTTAAGGTCTTTTCATGAGTTTATCTGAGCTGTTGCAGTTTAAGGTCTGAAATTAAAACTTTTCTGTGTAACCACTTTGATAAAGGACTACTCATTCCTCCTGCAAGTTCTGGCAGTAGGATTCTGATCCTTCCTAAAGGTAGAAGAAA